CTTATAACATTTTAATTATCGTTATTCTTATCACATATATGTATATTGACTGAGCAATTATTTAGTGCCACTTAATGACCTTTTCTGTAATATGAATACGACTGTACAGCTTGAAAATGAAGTCGTTGAAAAGAAATTTCTTCGCTGAACAAAAACTGTGTTTTTACTTATGAACAAAGCTTAACTTTGAAGAACTCACCAACCAATCACAGAGGAATTGACTTGTGAAAATAGGGTTCTCAGATATATGTGGCATGACCTCCTAAGAAATGGTCACAAGCAGTACAGAATCACCTTCAGCAGGAAAACAATCAATTAGAAAACGTTGCTTCTCCGCTGACAATAATGCCAATGATAATGTATTTAAAAATCTATAAATATCTCTTGATTTTCTCAATAAACAATATGTTGCTTGGCCCTTGTCTTCTATCGTTAGAATATTACTTCTCTGAACCTCATCAATCTTATTGGTAGTAACAATACTGAAAATAGGGTCATTTTCGCAGCTCTGCTGAAACCAATACCTTGGATAAGTTTGAGTTTCTGTACTATATCAAAACCTTTGGAAATAATATGGATGTTCGCATTAGACAAAACAAAGAACATCTCATATTTCAATGGATATTTTAGACTGTTTGCGCCTGGGATATTGCTGTTCTATGCAATGGTGTTTACATTTCAATTTGAGTCATTCTTCTTGATTATATAGCTTGATTCCACATCGTATTTTCGGTACAAGTATGCAATTTTCGGCATATGATAACGGCAGGCCGACTAATTGATATCAGGTGTGCGTTAGTAGAGGGTCGGACCCCGGACCATGTGCATGGTCAGCGAGAGTCCTAACCACTATGCCACCGACGCACATAAAGAAGGTAAAAGGCAATTCAGGGGAAAAATGTTCTTTGTCGATGAAATTATCTTCACAGGCTCTACAGTCATATTTATATTCACCAAAAATATATAGTATCTCGACAATGCAATAAGAAGACGTAGTTTATCTGAAACGTGTAATGTCGATGTATTTCCGCAACACATTTCGGACATTCTGATCACACACACGTACTTGTCATACACAGTTTTATAGAAGACATTAATCATTACAATACAGGTGAGATTGTGCATAGGTCAAGGTGACAAATAATGAGTAGGGCTTAAAGGCATTGGTGAAATCAAGCTTATGACCCGTCTGTATAATGTGCATCGCTATAGATGATGTTGGATATCTATTTCCGGAATCAATTGTATCTGGCGTTTTAAGCCCATATATAAAACACGGTTGGGTCACATACTTAAATTCGTTGAAGTCTTGGCCATAAAAAGACTAAAACCTGTCTTATGTGCCCAAAAGTTATTTGTTATTACTTTAAACCTGCCTTCGTAATCCAGTTTAGAACCAAGAATCAATTTACTTCATAATATTTTCAACCCTTTCTTCGCTTTGATTTTTATTTCTTACCCACACCACTGCGTCATCTCCCTACTCATTATTTGCGACTTTGATCTGTACACAATCTGACCTATGCTGTGATTATTCATACCTTTTTTGCCTTCAGTAAAACTGTGTATAACAAGTACGTGTGTGACCAGAATGTCCGAAATGTGTTGCGCAAATACGCACATTACACGTTTCAGATAAACTACGTCTTCTTATTGTTTTGTAGAACTTAATAAAGGGAACTAATTGCTTTAAATATATAGAAGTCAGTTAGTGAGTAATGGTTCCAAAAATAAAATTAAGGATTACGTTATACTCGGAGGCACAAAGGAAGAAAGGGTTAGAAATTCGATAAGGTTAAAATTATTATTGAGTGAGAAGAAAGGTATGTGAGTGTCAATTTAACAAGGGTGAAGAGGGTGAGAAAATGTACATGGAGAACCTTTGAGTGATAATAGTGAACTAACTATTCAAGTACAAGCAAAATGATAATAAAAAATTACAGGGAACCATTAATGAAGCGGTTACAACCGTGGTAGTATAAGAAACTGGATAAACAGTTTCTGTTTACACCAACCTCTGAATACAGAATGAAAACTCAACTACCTTTCTTCTCATTCAATGACAATTTTTACCCCTTATCAAATTTCTAACCCTTTCTTCCTTTTTGCCTTTGAGGATTACGTAATTTATAACTTTCATTTTTAATTCTGAAGCGTCTTCTGAATAATTATACCAATTACGTCACCCCCCCTTTTACTCAATAATGAACTACTATACATTTTTTGGTGAATATAAATATGACTGTACACCCTGTGAAGATGATTCCATAGATAAATGAGATTTTCTTCACTGAATTGTAGACGACACTTTCGTTATATCTGCGATAATAACGTAATTATTGATGATGTCTTGTTTGCTTTCAACAACTGTCATCCTTCTTTACAATTCACCATAGAAAAGGAATCTGAACTTAGTATTCCGTTTCTTGATGTGTGCCTTAGTAGACGTAATGACGGATCTCTCAAAAGACCCATCCATCGGAAACGTACATGGGACGGACAACTAATTTATTTTTATAGTTGTGTGCCTATCTCCAGGAAAAGGAACCTAATTCATTCGCTCTGCTTTAGGATAAGAAACATTTGTAAATCTGATTGCGTCGACTCAGAACTTGACTTCCTAAAAGGCACGTTTGCAGAAAACAGTTACCCAAATAGATTTATTGATAATAACTCGAAAGACAGACAGTCTAAACTGGTCACCGACTCACTTCCAAAGAAAACCATATTCATGAACTTGGAATTAAAAGGTGATCAAGCTTCAGATATGCTCAAAAATCGTCTCTCTAAAGCAGTCAGGAAGACATTCTTTGCAGCAAAATTACAAATCAAGTTCACCAGCCACAAGTTTTTCTCCATCTCTGTAAAAGATAAGCTACCCCATCTTGCCGCCTCTATGTGGATCTATCAGTTCACCTGCTCTTGTAGAGCAAGGTACGTTGACTGTAGCCAGAGGACGCTTTCCACACGGATACCAGAACATATTCCAGCATGATTTTCCGAGGGAGAAAGGAAGTGTGTGCGAAGCTCTATTCTAGAACACCTGATAGACTCCTGTCACTCTACCAAATCTAACCATGATCTTAATATCATCTACCTAATCCATGATAACTTGTAGCGGTTTCTTTGTTATAAAGCTCTAAAGACAGTGGAGGCCTTGACAATTCATGAATTTAAGCCAGACCTTTGTGTACAAAAGAAGTATGTACAATCCCTACTTCTGCCTTGGCCGTAGACGAATAGACATTTATTTATTTTGTTTATTTAGCTAATCTACGTAGCTTTCCCTCATTACTACGATTATTATTATTATTATTGCTATCCTCACTCTGGATTATTTCCGCTTGTCCCACTTGACATTCTAAATCCAAAACTATTATATTTTAATTAATTATTATTAATTAATTAAATAATTATGCACCCCTTTCCAACATCTATACACCTTATGTATTATTCTATGTATGACACTAATTGTTTTGCTACTTGACATTTAACTATGCTCATATTTTAATTGCATTTCATACTACTACTATTATTACTACATGTATTCACACCTTTGACCTAATTCCCTCACCGGATATAATTTCTTTAAAACCATATACATATTATTGTACGGGTTGATAATAAATACGTTGAAAAGAGTCTTTTCTCTGAATATTGTGTTCTCAACGCTACAATGGAAATTATTAAATTATTTTATCTTCTTCATTAGTAATTTGAATAATCTGACTCAACAGTCAGTCAATACTTCAGGTCTACTCGACGGCCATCAACCTCACACATTTGAAACTTCATGAAAAGTTTGACTTTGCATCATATTTAACACTCTTCATATATGAGTGATGTTCATGGAATCTTTTCTTCACGAAAACTAAGCAGATCTTGAATAAACAAACATACGTCACTATCCGTTTAATCATAATTTAAATTGAGGCGTGAATAATAATCGATTATCAACTATCTGAATCAATAAATCGATTCTCTAGTTGTGTTTCTTCCAATAAAGTCACCATCAAGTCAGCTGAACTCATTGACATCAAGCGTCTCTTCAACAGATGTCACCTCTCTTACCTTGATGTTATTGTTTTCAACCAATCAGCATTGCTTAGGTATACAGACACACAAATTTGACTTTAAAAAGTTTCAGTAAGAAAATGAACGAAATAACATTTCACAATATCTATTACAGTTTTGGTATTCATGGCTCAATACATCCTATTCACTCTTATATCCTTGATAATTTCTCCTTCACTGACTTTGATACCTATACCAAAGAATTACACTTTAGCAGACGATTACTGTACAGTGAATGAACCTTTTGAAATATTTGAATACTATCCTGCATGTATAACATTGAAGGAGGCTATTAGAAAATTCTTTAAAAAAATTCGTCAAGAAGAATTTCCAAAATCAAAATCAATACCTAGTGTTTCCTGTGAGTTCAGAATACTTAACATTCGAATAAATGGAGGATGTGATGAAAGTGACGGCGTATTATGGCCATCGCATTCCACAGATGAATCCTGTAAGTACTCAGGTTTATTTGATATTAACACATACATTGAAAGATTCGATTGAGTATCTGGGAAGTAGTTTAATTATGATATCTGCTGAAGTATGGGGTGTACTACACGGATTAGAAACTGTGTTGCAGCATATATACAGAGATGAATTTGGCGGAGTAAGAGGCAAAATCATTTTAGAAGCTCATCTGCATAATTTCAAACTCATAGAAAATCATAAGAAAATTTACACTGGATGATTCACCTCGATTCTCACATCGTGGACTCATGCTAGACACATCGAAACATTTCCTCACCATTGGAGAAATCCACAAGTTCATTGTAAGTCATCATTCACCTCCCTCCCTTGTCCAGGGAGACGTGAAACACTCACAAAAACTCACACACACTCACACGCACATTTTAGGATGCAATGGCCATGGTGAAAATGAATGTTCTACACTGGCACATCACAGACACTGAATCATTCCCATTCGTCTCCTCCATGTATCCTGAACTGTCAAACAAGGTGAGTAAGACTGATGAATTATTCCCTTTCTAACTTGAATCACACCACCACAACTGAAGGGTGCATATCATCCTGAGGCCTATGTGTATCAGCGTAATGAGATAGTTGATCTACTGGAGTATGGGCGTCTTCGTGGAATTCGAATAATTCCGGAGTTCGATACACCAGGTGAGTGTGATATCCTCACAGTTGTATGTATTGAGATATTCAACTAGTTTGAAATTGTCTCTGTGTTGGCACAGACTAGTGAACACCCTGATATTTGTCAATCGTGAATAAGTAGACATTACTGTGATGGATGATTTCGCCCACCCCAGTGATTTACAGACGTTGAAGTTTTCCGGACCAGTATTAAAACAATGAACGAACTATGCAAACGGAAGACAAGGATGGTCGGAATTCGGCGTATCTGAAGGTCTCTGAATACTTCCATTGTTGGGAATCATTTGTAGCATATTTGGAATTATCGAATCAATGACTCTCGGGATTAGCAGTACTCAAACAAAGCTGAACTGTTTCTGTCTGGCTGAGAATGACCTCCAGCTGAGAAAAGAGTATTACGTCTACCTGCTGGATGTCTGATGTAACTGATCATCCATAGCTTCAGTGGAGCACACAAAATGACTACACGACAATCAAACAATAAATTCAGAAGGGTGATTCGTATGTACCAACAATTTTGACAAATTTTCATTTGTATTCAGATGACTCCATAAAATGTCACTGAACTGGATTACCGAAATATAACCACCAACCTGAGAACTACTATTCACACTGAATCTACTCACCACTGATCGGTTCCTCTGAGAAATCAACGCAAAACACTGGTTTGAATATGTGTGGAAATGTGAGGAAAATCATCACGATTCCAGACAGACTCAATGACACCATGTAGCGAGAATCACAGACATTCACTACACACGTGATATACACCAGACACCCATCATCAGTGAGATCATGCTATGCCTCTCAAACAATATACTGACTATGCACACCACATATTCGTCATTATTCATAAGTAGACATAACAGAACGCATCACTCAAGATGACACCACAGTATATCCCAATATCCCAATACTCAGTCACATTCCATACTTCATCTCTCCCTCTCTCTCTCTCTCATCTCACAGCACATACACGGTCATGGGGAAATGGCTATCCCGATGTACTCACTCCTTGTCATACTCAAGACGACGAAGGAAATCAAATACTCGGTCCTGTCAATCCAACCAATCTCACCTTTATTCAGAACTTGTACCACGAAATTCGCCGTGTGTTTTCTGCTGACAACCACGTTCATTTAGGCGGAAATGATGTGGATTTCACATGCTGGTGAGTTCTCACTAATATAATTATCATCTTGCACCGCTTGATTGATTGGTTGATAGATTGATTTATTCAATTAATGCATTTCTCCCATGATTCTCACAATGTGCTCAATGACAATCTCACCATACAAGTGCATGTAGTATGGATGCAGTGTGTTCAGTGTGATCAGGTGAATATGAGAAAGATGCATTGTATATGCAATTCAGTGTGATGATATATACGTGTATATACACACTGGAGGGTAGGCATGTTTCTAAGAATCGAATATGGGCTAAAGTAAGCGGTCAAGCGAGGTGAGCACATGAGACAAGCAAAGTGAAGTGGTGTGATTAGATTCCACTGGTTCCATTCCACATTAACCTGCAAATTCGTCTATCCCATCGAAACACAAAAAAATTACCTCCTCATTCCATTCTCGTTTTACAGGCAGTCAAATCCTGACATCACAAAATTCATGCAGGAGCAAGGATTCAACAATGACTATACAAAGTTGATGAACTACTACATGACACAACTTGTAGAAATTGTCAGGACCGCATCGTTGGGATCTCCAGTGGTTCCGATTGTTTGGCAGGATGTATATCAGGATGGATTTCGTGTAAGTCAACACTGATAGGGGATTATATAATATTCAGGTTGTATGCATTCGGTTAATGAGTTGTGTTAATAACGATGTCATGAGCAGGAATAATTCTCTCACTCTGACCGATATCAGCAATTTAATGACAACAGCGAATAAGTCGGTTAGCTGTGGTCGTGTCTCTATTCTCACCTACACACTTAGTCATCTACACTGATACTCCATCACAGAGTATTCGAATTCTCAGTTGAGGAGTGACTAGTCGTGGCAGCATTACATAGATACATACATCTCGATCAACTGTCAATACGCTCAAACAGGGAGATGTCGTCTCCCGACAGTCTCACTAATCAAATCTCGAGCAAATGACAAATCGCTTGATGAAAACACATAATAAGCATGCACGTGGGTAGAGTGCAATCACACAAGAGAATAAAATAATCAGGTCTCATACACAATGATCGATGTAGTATGATGATTTGTTCAACCGAGTGGTTTCGAGAAAAGTCAAGTGCTGATTGATAATCACCAAATGAGAAGTATTCGTTAGACTGAACTTACTCATATATTTCGCTAACCATATGATAGACATAACTAACAAACAAAGGGGAATGCAAAATACTACTAATAATGACCTAGTATTATATTGCAGGAGAGAGCATACATACTCGTCCACTGCATGACAGGATGCCAGTGAATGTTCTTTAGTGTTCCACAAGAAAACCCAAACGCACACAAACATAAAATGACACCATCCATCCATCCATCCATCAATCAGAATGTCAATCACTGCTCCATGTTTCACTCAAGTTATGTATTGCAGTGTGATGTCCACTCATCTACTAATTAGTGACTGACTCAATCTCCTCTCTCCTCATCAACACACTGAACGTGTGACTAACTGACTGATGAATTCTTCGCCTTTTCTGTGTTTAGAATGACAAGGACATCATTTTTCAAGTATACAAATCTGATGAATGGAAGAAGAGTGTTGAGGAGATCACAAGAGCAGGATTCAAAGTTCTCATATCGTCGTGTTGGAATTTCAGTGATGTGAGTCTCGGAGACGACTGGCGAGCGTTCTACGAGTGTGATCCCTTGGATTTCGAAGGTAACTCCGAGTATTTTCAAACTTGACGTTTTCAATGATATCAATGGTAACCAATGCACACAGGGAAATCTTTGTCGAATCGTTGTCACTAGTTGCATAAGCATCTCAAATATCCAGTCCTCACTGTAGATGTGACATCTACACATTCCATCCACTTCGTGTAATTCATCATCCAGTTTCATTCAGCTCAGCTCAGCTGAGTGAGAACTAGGTCGATTAGAATGTTCACTGTTCACTGATCGGTGCATCTTGTAGAATACTGTCAAACTACTACTCCAAATTAGATAACACAGCAACACAACACGACAAAGAGATAGACATTTCTCAGTTGCACATGTCAGTAAGACAACCGACAAGTTCACTGACGTATATCAAACAATGAATATTCATGCATCATTGAGAATCGCACATAATGATAGTAGCAATCTATATGCGTTGTGTGTACTAATTAGCTGTAATCGAAATTAGGCGACATCATTACAATCGACTGACAGTCCTCTCACTCATCTACACTCTCATTCATCATTTCTAACCAAAACTTGTGGCCGAAACAGAATGACGATTCTCCATCTGAGACGAATTTCTACATGGATATCCACTCCGTTCTTTTAGTGTAGAACACACAACAGTCATGAAGACTAACTAACATGCGATAACTAGATGAGTTCATTTCATCAGATTTACACTGTTCATTGATTTCTGTGTGTATCGAATATTTCAGGAAGTCCAGCGGAACTGGCACTGGTCATTGGAGGAGAAGGTGTGATTCCAGGTGACTACGTGGATGACTCAAATCTCATGTTGGTGTCATGGTAAGTGATGATGGTTTTCCGTTTTCGATTCATCGTCATGTTAAAGCTTCATCAGTCATATGCCCACAGGTGTGAGACACATCGTCTTCGAATTCGTTGAGAGAATTAGTATGAGAATGAGGTTGTTGACACCACTGAACAATATCAGCCTCTGCAATCAATCACATACTCCGCTCACTCACACAACATAAACTTCCGAAGACCCACAGTCATCACTTTACGCATAAAAGCATTCATGTGGAATTGATGAGGGCTGAGTTTGCACATTTCCAGAAGACAAATGAGCATGCAACAATGACTTGCATCCACAAACACAGCTATGAAGTTGAGGTAAAATATTTATCTCTTTGAACAGCGAGTGATGTTCAGGAAGATGTCCAGGATGTTTACGAACACTTCAAAACAATTCAATGCATAAGGTGCCTGTCGGTACATCAGATATATTTCCTCTGAGACATCAATACATCATCACTCCACCTCCTATAATCCAGTCAAAACATCACCAATATTGTATGTGTACATCTGACAATTCATCTCATATCTTTTCATACATTCTCCAACACAGGCCTCACGCGGCTGCAATAGCTGAACAACTCTGGTCTCAAGAGAGAACGAGCACAGACGATTTCGGTGACCGCCTGAGTGAACTTCGTTGTCGAATGAGAAGGTGAGTTTCACAACACCACACCAAACTGCACTGCACTGCACTGCACTGCACTGCACTGTACTGTACTGTACTGCTGTTTACCCTCATTTCTTACTGTTACACTTTGTCTGAGTAACGTAGTGTGATGTGAAGCGATATCAAATTCAACGGACAAGCCTAATAATGCAATTTGTTCTTCAAACTCCTATCAAGATGATCACAAGACATGTTGGAATAAGTGAGGAATAATACAGGGTGACAAGCGGACCAATGCGCGAACTGACTCGTGTTGGTGCGTGAGGCACCAGTATTAGTTGGTATGTGTACTGACAGTTTGAAGAATAATTGGAATACGATTATTGGCAAGAGAATTCGAAGAGAACAGAAGAGAAGAGAAGATGAGATGGTAGGGTTGTGTGTGTGAGGTTGAGTGTCAGAGTGACTGTTGAATTTGGATGTAGGAAAACCAGCTGTGAGTCTTCCAAACTGTAAATTAACTGAAATCCACTGCAAAATGTCACATCAATCTACACTGATTTCCCCACTGATTCCATACCCATGTGTGTGTCTGTGAATCCTCTACACCAATTCGACTTCATTCTATCACAATTTTCTTCTTCTTCTTCTTGTCAACAGACTAAATTGGGATGTTCAACCAGTGAATGGACCAGGATTCTGCTCAATTTGATTCACCACACACCGAAGCGTCTTCTTCCACTCCCCCCTCCCACACACACACACACAGACAGTACTTTCCATGAGAGTTCAATAGACAGAATGACGCTTGATATGTGCAGCCAGTGTGTGTGTGTGTCAGAGTGTCGATACATCCAATTATTCCACTCTCTCCCTCTCCTTCCACTACTCATCCTCTTCGATAGCTTCATACTAATTTTCACAAATATACACTCAAATGAATCGAATGACTTCTACCTTCCGTTGACTTCAGTCTGAGTGTTGCAATCCACGAGGCTGGTCAGTCATTGTGGTCATCGTAGTGCTGGTGATAACGATGACGGTGTCGGTGTCGGAATGTTGAAATGTATCTAGAACAGCACATGTCAGCGAACAATACTGATTTCAATTAGATCTTATCAGTCATTCTCCTTATATATACAAGTGAATATTTAATATCAACACCAATAATGGTGATTTGTCAGTAGAGTGATGGGGCTGTCAATATGAAGTGTACAACAATCCTTTATGATGAAAGTAACAATAATTGTATCATCTACAAGTATGAAGTAATAAGGAGAGTGAAAAACGGCATGGTTTTTTGTAACAAACAAATGCTAAGACAGACAAGGTGGATAACTGCTAAGGAAACAAATAATAATCATAATAATCGGATTGAGGGAAGTCAGAAAACAAAACTGCGTTTCATTGAAGACGCCATTAGGCTAGGGAAAGAGAGGGACTGGACTATGTGAGGGTTGGTGGTTGTCTGATCAGTTGGTTGTGTCTTCACACGTCAAGGGAAGGCTGACAGCTGTACTCACGCCTTTTGAATGTGTAGTGTAGGCTTTATAGTTCAAATTCTCATCGCCCCTGTTATTTGCTTATTTTCTATCTTCCAACCTACTTGGGGACCTTGAATATCGAATGATTTTATCCAAATAGCGGGTTCATTTGTAAATGGCTCCTTCGTTTATTTCATTGACAAAAGAATCAAAATTACTGTAGGTAACTGGGTAGCTGAATTGGAGGTGGCCAATTGTTTTGATTATTAAAACCTGTTGACTCACAGGCACTGGTTTGGATCTCAGTGTTCTTCGTGTCACAGAGAAAGATCGCTAGAAATCGACTATCTTTAACTTGCAGGCTGCATACTTAAAGCCTATTGCAGCCTTCAGTAGAAGCTGTGGTTTTCCAAACATAGGTTTGCCAAAACCTAATCACTGGATATTTCTTACTCCTGACGTCTCAATGGCTCCCATAGACATGAACCTACTTAATAATCACGACCTATTCAAAGATGTCAACTAACCACAACCGATAGACGGTACCACGAGACTATTTATTAAACTAACCACTTACGTTGATCAAAGCCTGCATCTGTTTAAGAAGAAAGCCATGAACAGTGCAACTTTTCAATCAGACGTTGACAACTAACCAGAACTTAATTTTCAAACAAACGAGTCACCATTGATAACTAACTAGGTTATGCATCACACCTCAACTTCAGGTCAACGCCTAAACTGATAGCTAAATGCTGTGTAATCAGCCACATACACGCCACGTCGAACTGAATCACTGTCTGTGGTCCTCTTAGATATTCGTAATACATTAAATGCTGATGTTAGGTGTATTACTACAGAGCTGGTATATGGAATAACACTACAACTGCCAAGTGAGGTTATTACACAGTACGTCAGTTAGCTAATGAACGCGACGCCTTCAGTAACGCCTGCTTATATTCGATCAAATTCAGCAGAGCATTATTCCACGC